ATTTCATACTTTTAAACAAATATGTGTACTAATACGCATCCAGTAGAAGCCTGTGGGGTTATAAATATTTTATATAATTTATATAAATTAAATTAGATTTTTAAGAACGTAAGTAATGTTTTGATATATCCATTTTTATATCCATTTATTTAAATCATCATAACTTATAGGCAACACATCAAATACTACCATGATGATTGATTCTTCAGAATTTAAATGTTTTTACACATTATTTTAATTATTATTTGCGGCAAAAGTTGTCATGAAAATAATTATTTAATGCATAAACTTTAAAATAGTATTTATTTATTTATTCTTTTATTTATTTATTCTTTAATTATTGCTTGCTTTTGCACTAAATCATGGCAACATTTGCCTCAAATACTGGGGTAAAATGAATTATGAGCTAGACATGCTCTCTACAGCGTACGTAAGATTCACGAGTGTGATGTGAGACCAATGAGGGAGCAGTTTTGTGGATAGAGAGAAAGAGTAATGGAAACTGTACCATATGACAGGCCACAGGTGCCACAGATATCTGCATCCACACACACACACACACACACACACACACACAGGCTTCACAGGGATTATAGGTGTACCTGATTAAGCCGTCATCCACTGACCACTGAGAAAGAATGAGACAGATGATGATAAAGGAGAAGAGACAGAAACCCATAGAGAGAGAGAGAGTGTCAGCAGCTGAAGTGAAGAGCTGTTGATGTTGAGAAACACAATATGAAATGAACTACTCTATGTAGAGATGAACAGATGTTTCTCTCTCTCACTCAATCCCTCACTTTATCCGCCTCTGCGTCATATGTGAGGGGGTGGTAAACACACACGCACACACACACACACACACAGACACACACACACACGGGTCATTTTCCTGTAGGCTGATTCTCACACACACAGAAGATGTTGTGATGAAGGGTTTTCATCCTCCATGCTTGCACATCAATGATGTCGGTTGTTCAGAAACTTAACCTGCTCGCTCATGAGGAGGAAGTAGAAGAGAGACTAATACCACCAGTCATCCAGTGCGCTTTTAGTATTATTTACTATTATAGTATTTATTAATATTTGAATTAGCTTTTAGTTTTATATTTTTCAGTTTACATTTTAATTTAAGTTTTAGTTATTTTCTTATATGCTTATGTGATTTTTTTTATTTTTATATATTTTATAAATATGCTTTACATGTTTTATAAATCTTTTTTTTTTATATTTATTTTTATTTTAGTTTTAGTTGCCAGTGCAGTATTTTGTTATTTTAAACAATTTTTTTTAACTAAATGTATTCAAGTTAGTTATTTTGTTATGTGTTTATGTGATATTTTTAATTCATTTGTAAATACTTTATTTTCAGATTTAAGTTTAGTAATTTTAGTACTGTTTTTCATCTGATGTATATATTTTATTTCATCTTAATATCACTTACTAAAAACTATTTGCATTATTTATTTGTTTACTTGCTGTGATGTCATTAGGTGTGCCAGAGCATTTAGCAAATTATTACAATAGAATTCAAGGTTATTCAGAGATACATTTTTCTGTATTTGGAGTAAAATCCTGAATTGTATGGGATAAGGCCAGGAACATGTATTCAGATTTAAGTTGACTTTTATAGAAATTGGCCATTTTTGGGTCCAGATGGGTTTTCTCAGAACTGATATAAAAAAAATAAAAAAATAAAGGGCTTTTGTTGACACCACACACACACACACACACAC